TATGTTCTCCGTGCAATAACTATCGACCCTTCCTGATTATCGTGACACACTATTTATTGTTATGGTTTTGAACGAGACTTCTGGAACAAGGCTTTAAGTCAGAGGTTTTTTCTTCAGGGCGGCAAATCACATGAGATCAGGCAAAGCAGTGGTTCTCGTTTCTTCATTCGGTTTTGTCTCCACTCTCTCTCTCTCTCTCTCTGCTGTAGTGTGTCTTCATCTACTCAGTGTTCTGTCTTTATGGACCCATGTGCATGGGCTGGAATGAAGCATGATGTGCTCTGGGTATACCAGTGTTCCCCAAACAATCAATCACCTAATCAAACCTGTCTCCCCCAAAGGCTAGACATGGTCTAGCCCAAATGGACAAATTTTAATTATTGTTCAAAATTCTTTTTTATTGTGCTTTTCTGTGTGCTCATTTTTGCATATGGGATTTATCATTTTTTTATCCCCTTGTTAATCCTTTTGCCAGCAAGTGACAAAAAGGATCAATCCCTTGATTTGGGAAGTTTTATCATGTTTTGGCAGACAAAAATTTTAATTATAATTCTCTCATCTATTTTCTGCTGGAAACCTGTCTGCTTTTAAAAGTTAATCCTTATTAATTGACCAAACTCATGGCCAGAGATCTGTCTTCCTCTCCATCACTCAATGGTTATAAAAATATTATCTCTTTCTTTCCAGGAGGCTCCTGGACCTCCAAGAATATCCCATCACTTAACTTGTCAGTCCTAACTGAAACCAGATGGTCTCTTTTTTTACCTCTCTGTCAGACAAGAAATTTAATTACCTTCTTCTAGTGTTTTTTTTGTAAAAAAATATTCTTTTCTTTCATTTTCCCTCATCTGGTCATCACTATATCTTCAGTCTATCAGAAATTATGCAGACATTACTAGCCAGTTGTTTTTGGTCACAATCATTATAAATGGCCAACCACTGCACTGTCCATGGTAGGCAGTAATGCCTTCTCTCAGGTACTTCTCATACACACATGATACAATAAATTAAGGCCTGTCAAATGTCCCCACAATTTCAGAAATGGAATGTCCCATCCATCTGGCATTCACTAACATGTCCCATTCAAACTCTAGTAATTCACATTGTACAGCTGGTGTTCCCACTGACTCACCAGATGTCATAGCACAACTAATATATCTGAGCAATTCCATGACCTCAAAGAACAGTAGCACCAACTCTCATTCCCTTTACATACTGCTAACCCATGAGTTTTGCCACATTAGTGCATAAATATGTATACACATGCACATATAGACACCCATAAAGAGAGAGACAAAAACAAAGAGAAAGAGATTGCTGCAGTTAATGCAGTCAAAGTTTACACAATAATTAATATACTTGTAAATTCATAAAAATCAAACAATTTTTTTCAATTGTTTTATTAAAAAGTATCTGTTAACCAATTTTATGTTTGGGAAACAAATTAAGGTATTTAGAAAACTACTGACTATTTAATTTCTGGTAATATTACTAGCATTGGATATTTCTGTAGCATGAAATTAGTTTTCATTTAAGTTAATTTATTCAGTTAAACTTTAAGAGTTTTAAATGGAAATATGATTGCTGAATGAGGATGTGAGATACCTCAATCAATACATAAAATTATTTTTTTATTTTCAGGCTGAAAAAACAGCTTTGAATAAGTGGCTAAGAAACTTCTCATAAGAAGACATGATGGAAGCCAATTCACAGATTGTTAGTCTTAATAATGAATTTAAAAGCATCAAATTAATATAAAAAATACAAAATATTTCTGGTATTGTTGACATGGAAAAAACAAATTTACACATTTGTTTATAATTACAATCTTGTAATTAACAAACTGATTCAATATATTTTTGTGCTCACATTGACAATAGCTGCTAATTTTTTTTATATATATTTTTGTTTTGGAACAGCTTTATATTATTGTATTATATTTTTGTTTTATAACAGCTTTATATTTTGTATTATATATTTCAGTGTATTTTTCTTCCAGTTTTAGTAAGTTATAAATTATTAAAAGAAAATTTTCCCTTTCTAACAATATGTATAGGTAGTCAGTATATTAGCCATCATTCTTTTCTGTAAAATAAAAAGGGACTTCTCATTTTCATGGATAGTACACTTGAAGAAGGTTCTAGAATGAATCAGCCAAAACATAATGTGATGTTTATTACATTGTTGTAAAATTTCTTGCATCTATCTAAACTATTTTATATCCACGATTCATGCAACACTAAATTAAAATACATATGTATGTTTTGATAAAGAAAATATCAAAACAGGTAAAATGTTTGTGATATTCTTCTATAGATAAAAATGGAAATATACAGATATTAACCAATATTCTCGAAGTTCATACTAATGAACTCATTCTTTGTTTTGCTTTTGTTGGAGGCACAATATTTTGTTTGATCCATTCTACAGCCTTCTTTAGGTGTACAATCTATAAAGATTGAAAGAAGCAAAAATAGTGTAAAGTATTACAAAGAATGAGTATAACAGTCTAACTCATAGAATGATAATAGCTTTTCTGATATACAGTATAAAGGACAGACAAATGTTAGACAAACTCACCTACTTTTATAATCACTTAATATTTTTGTATAGATGCCAAGAAAACCAATGTTAAGAACAAGAAAACAAAAAATATTGAGAAACAAACAGTATGTACTCTAGTGAAGGATATGATACACTACAACCAAGAATTAAAACACAAATTACACAAAGATCTTATAGAAAAACAGGTAGAAGCTCTCCTTAATAATATAACATTCAACATTGATAGAATAAGAATCACTTGAGGGTTAGAAAGGTCATAAAATTATGATTTCAACAATAAAAAATTGTCTTATAGAAATCTCCATTTATTACAAGATCAAATTATTAGGCACAAAGTTAGGTATAATCCAAGTAAAACAGTTGTCATCTCAGTGACTCTGTAGAAACAGTACTTAAAGGACTTGAATTCAAAACCACCAACCAGCAAATACCTTATATAGACTTAATTGACTCACTGAAGGAAGTGGTTTCAAAATTGCTAAAACATCATGCAGATTAATATAGATGAATTTAGTTTGAAAGAATCTAATGCCACTCTTATGAATATCACTTGGAATTAAGAAGACAAACTTTTAACTCAACAAAAAGACAAAAATATAATTATAGTTCTGACATAAAGGTAATGCAATCATTATAGTTGAGAAAAAAAAATATATATACAAAAGAAAATTGGCAAACATAATCTGGTAGTTACAAAAAGTTAAACAAAGATTCAAAATTGTCTACAGAGAAATAATTGAGATTGCAAAGAACAAGGATCACTTTATATCAAAAGAATAAAGATAGTTGATCCAAAATCATAACAAAGAAATCATATTATCATATTAGTTTGAGCAATAATGGCTCCTCCAGTGTCTTAGGATCAGGCTTCTTGAATTGTACACAGTACAAGCAGTTTCCAACAAAGCTTCCTATGCTGAGAGTTCATTTAAGTATAAACAATTGCACAGGTACTATTATGTTTCTGGAAGTTGTGTTGAGAAAACAACTTATTCACTACAGCCTGTTCTAAGGCACATGGTAAACTAACTTGGTTCAGTATATCACCTCTTCACTCCAGTCAATTTTTGGCTTATCTTCTAATCTTTTACTCTTAGGTAAAACATCAACAAATGTGAGGATCTCAACTCATCTCGTGGAACATTCAATCATTACTAACAGTGAATTTAATATGTTTTTGTTTGTTTTTATGAAGTACAAATAGAAGTTGTACTCATCCTAAATGACAAACTGGATAACGACTATTGTCTTAAGCATCATACCAGCATCTCCATGAATAACTTTTGGAAATGTTAATGTTTTACATGTGGACAAAACATTTTCAGTTTAGGCTCAATATATAATAAAAGGAAGGTCTAGGTTTCTACTTTCCCATGATTTATAACATTTACATAGAGTTTTCTGACAATCTTACCTGAGGCCCAATTCTACTGAAACCTTCATTCCAGTGAATAACAAGTTTTTATCCTTATTCCATCAAAGGGATGTACAGGTCCTCTTGAATCATGTAAACTTAATGAGAATTGTTTTCAATAGCACAACCGCCTTTTGAAGTCTCACTTGGTTTCTCACAAGAGAAGACTTTGACAAAAAACATCCCATGAAATATGGAAAAGAATTTTAAGGAATAAATAAGAGCTGTCAACTTAAAATCAGACTTGAGGAACATAAGACATATTCAACAATATGGTAGAAACTGTATTCTTTTATTGTACTCTCTCCTTAATAATGTTTTTCTTTTTCTCATATTCTTTAACACTCAGTAACCCCTTGCATTTTAGTGACTTTATTGCCTTGCTAGGAGTGAAATGATTTAAGAAAAAGGAAAAGTCTAATATGGCAGATCATATAAAAAGAAGAAAGAAGGAATCTAAGTCAAACCAATATGGAATTCAGCATTGTGTCATTTCTTTGTGCAATTTGGAAATAAAGAAAATAGTGAAGCATCCAATTGTATAGAATTACCTGTTTCATACAGATGCTGAAAATATTAATATGAGTGTGTTTTGCATTGCTGAGAATAAGTTGAGGTAGTCAGTATATTAGATATTCTTTTCTGTAAAATAAAAAGGGACTCCTCATTTTCATGGATAGTACACTTGAAGAAGGTTCTAGAATGAATCAGCCAAAACATAAGCAACACAAGCAGACAACTCATGGCATGATAATGGTTCTTAAAAAAAGTATTAACAAACATGTTTATTCACATAATGTTGCAGAGGTAAATATGTATTAGTATAGGTACATATTTATCAAATTATATACACACTTACAAAACTGAATAAATTTGTAAATTTTAAAAATATTTATTCCCTTAATAAAAATACAAACAATAATCACTCATTATTGATATCTTAGATTCTGAATGTAAAATACTGGATAAAATATTTTTAAAAAGTACAATGTAATCTTGTAAACATTAGTTACTTTAGCAATTAACCAGTTTGAGAATAAGATTTAGCAAATTGTGTAAACTGAACCAAATCAGTTTCGCTGATTGTTTTGCTGTGTGTCTTCATTGATTTAAGAAAATCATCCAGTTGCACTTGTTTAGGAATAACCTACAAAGTAGATAATTTATAATTCATTAAATATGTTGTAGTAAAAAGGTAAAGTTATTGATTTGTTATGTATAAAAATTTATATTAAAGAATAATTTATTTTAAAGGAACTTAAAGTTTACAGTCTCATATTTAATACTAGTTGTTCACTTTCAGTAAAGTTCTGCACTAGTATCAGTAAGCTTTTAGAGCCATTCAATTATACCTTTTGTTTTTCAATTATTGCATTGGTTCATCAGGCATCTTTGCTTTTTTGTTAGGGTGGGTCTCATTTTTTTTTTTTTTTACCATTATTAAAGTCTATACATTATCTTCAATGATGCTGTGTGTTGTATTTCTTTCTTAAGGACTGGCATAGTGACAGTGCTGTTCTCACCTAAGATTTCCACTTTCCTAAATCCTCTAAACAGAAAGGAAGAGATATTTATTCACCAAAGAACTGCTTGACTGCCTATAGATATTCACCATAAAGGAGTTTAGTACCTTGGTCATTTTTTCCATTTGCCACACTGTGCTTTACTAACAACTGATATTTCTACAAACCTGTAACTGCCAAACAGACTTCTACAATGTCTGTAAGAAACATGACTCAAAATATGTTCACATTAACACACATTTGAACATTACATGTTTATCACTCTATCCATCCAATGAGTAACATATTCTTAGTATGGCTATAGGAGTGCCAAACAGTGGTTTTTAACAAAGAACAAAACAATCTCCTTCAAGTCATGGAAGAATAATCTAACTTACTATCTTTAGATGCAACTTTGTTCCATTTCTGGAGTCTACTTGGATGATATTACAGAAATTTCAAGCTTACTACTGTTTAGAAAAATAATATTGTTGAAATGATGCTGGATCAATAATTTCCAGAAACACCATTGTGAAACCTTCTATATCTCTGTCAAGTGTGTGACAAGTTATAAGATAATACTATAGATTCCAAAACAATGGGGGTCCACTTCTTGGATTTTATCTCTATTATACTGGAATCAGATGAATGCCCAAAGTATTTATTCCAACTGTCCTCTTTCATTGAAGATTCCATGTTATGACCCAACACTCATATGTCACCAAGATAGCCTCCCTACAGAAGAAGAGATGACACCCATATTAGAAAACATGTTAATCCTCACATGGTCATGACTAATCTACACAGGCCTCCTTAAGTTGGTCAAACAATGCTATAGGACTGAATTGAGATTGCAGACCTTGGTGTTAATAAAACCAAAAATCTCTGATGTTGAGCAATGATGTGTCTGTGAACCAGACATTCATCATGCCACATGAAGACACCAAAAAATTATATCACATACCCCACAAAAAAGTATGTCCTCTGTGTAGTTATGCTAAAAGACCTAACACTAACTTTTGAAATACTTTTCAAGCCAATGCACTTACCTTCCAGAATCAAACTGTCAGATCATAGACATTCTTGATGACAAAACCCATGAGTGTGCTGAACCTTTGGACAAGCTATATGTCAAAGATGAGGCTATGACAACCCTATGGTGTGTGAAAATTGATCAGTCCTCCTACATTGATATGTTTACAAACAGCCACTCAGTAAAGGTCATCACTGACAGTGGAGTCACAGGAAATATGATGGGACATGCTACAGTTAGATATGCCTAGGTGTGAAAATCATGGACACTTCCCAGTCAACAAAACAGACAGGTGGCTCCTCATCACTAAAAATAGTTGGTGAGTCCAGGTTCACTTGAGAAATCATCGTTAAAGATGTTGATACCAAGATCCTTGGAAGAGTTTGATCTATGCAGAAAAATCACATAACCATCAAACATGCTAGGCCTGAAGTTTGGATTTAGGACACCTAAATTACCTATGGCTCCAGAATGTCATTATCAAAAGTACAATGACTCTGACAAGCCCTCATTATACACAGCCTATCTCAACAGACTACTGTTTGTCTTGGATAGTACATAAAATTCTCCTTACTCAACAACGAGTATGATGAATTTGCCACAGAACCCTATTGGGACTCACATCATTCTACACCAGGAAAAACTTGGCCCCAATCCATTGTCATAAGAAGTGTTGCAGAACAAGCCCCAATAAATATGCAAGTCACAACATCTTTGTCAGGCTATACCTACATTAACTCCAATTGCCTTTGCTTCAGAGGACAAATGTCTGTCTACAACCAGACACCATCAAAGTACACTTGGCATATTTAATGACCTGGACATTGTTCCCCTCGGAGAAGAAATTCTCTGAATTCTCCAATGAATTTGAAAGTGACTTAATAGGATATAATGGTTCATCTAATCATTTTGGAGCCATCATCAACAAAGGTCCAACACAGCCATTCCAGCACACAGGCTAAAATCTTCAATATAATGACAACTTAAGAGTGTCAGATAGCAAGAGCATAGCTTGCCCAAAGCAGACATTCATTCTTGGATGGATCTAATCAGGAGGGATTTTGTCGGCAGGTCATCACATGATCAAAGCACTCAGCTCCTCTCAACCCCTTAGAATAGTGAGGGGCTTACACTCATTTATTGGTGTGTACAAGATCCTAAATCATGTCATCCCTAGTTGCTCTCATTTCCCTAGCTCACTGATGAGGCAGTCTCAGAAAAGGAATCACAGAATGTAGCAGATTGGTCTGACAGCTTATGGGATGCTCACAGCACAAAGATATCTGAACTTAATCAAAACTATACACATACCTTATCCAGCAGATCAGTTTGGGATTGTCACTGATGATCACAATTATTCTGGACAAAGAACCAGGGAACATCTGGTTTATCTAGAATGGTTGTGTCAACTACCCAGAAAAAACTTAACTAAAAGATGAGTGAAACTTCGATGTACTAGGGAAATACCATACACCTAAGATTAGGAACAGGATTGTTTATTTTTCTTTTAGTGACATTTGCCTAAAATTTTTATAGCTGACATTATTTTGTTCTTTTGGCACAAGTGAAAAACACCAGATTTCACTGAGTAGCCATTGTTCTCCAAGTGTGAAGCAGATATCAGACCTGGACAGACAACCTGCATTTCGGTGGCTTAATACAACCCAGAATTGCTTGTAAGACAGTTGTTGCTCAAGAGCCAGTATGAAAAAACAGACAAACACATGACAGAATAATTGAGGAAGATTGGTGAGTTGGCTATTACTTGAGCGATTACAATTAGAAATCTCCCATGACAGAACTGAGGAAGGCTGACTAGCAGGCTATTACTTGAGCAGTTATGATTAGAAATCTCCCACTGTTGGTATTACACGACCAAGCTAGCAACTTGTGACTGAGAGAAGATACAGAGCTCAGAGGAAGGGATATGTGGTGTTTGAACTGAAAAGTGATAGGTGTGTTAATAGATGTAATTATGATTGAAGGGGCTGCTCCAACATGTCGAAGGGTTACAATTGTAAGAACAGATTCTTTTTCTGGCTTTAAGGCTCTTGAAAACAATGAGCTTCTGTACCATCATTATATCTCAATCAAGATAGAAAATAGCAAAAATTCTATTAACAGAAAAATCAGTTCAAGAAATTGAGAAAAATTTTCTCAAAAGGGATCCATCTGGTGAAAAAGTCTTTTCAGTTTCCCTTGCAGATAACTATGAATGTTAGAGTTTCTAGAGAAGTTCTCTGCCACTAGGACCAGTTCACAAATAAACTTATTAACTTTAAGGATAAGGACCTGATTAACTAATAATACTACAGGCACCCCTCCAACCATGATGACAGTGAACATTGTATAATCACTCACAAAGATCATGTGTAGAGGTGAAAGTTGCTAAAATCATATACTTTCATGGCAGTCTGACAAAATCTAATAATTGGAAATGGTACCTGGTCTACTCTATACAAGCTGGTTGGGTCAATATTCAAAAGTTTGCTTGTTCCAAGTTAACAGCAAATGTATACAAACTATGTAGTGAAAAATGTTTCAAAGTCCCTACTCATCATGGCCATCGACTGGGAATTTGTTCTGATCAACCAGATAGTGACAAAGATGACCTCTGATCATATCTGCAACACTCTTTATCCCAAATGCACTTAGTCTTGTGACATCTGATAACATAAAATCACAAGAAAAAATACTTGTCAGCTCCCTAGTACTGTGCAGAAAGAGGCCACAGTTAACCCCATCTGACACCAGTGAAACTTGTAATTTGGATAAGATAATGATTGTTCCACTGGGCTTAAGGTAGAAAGATCGAGCCTGGCCACCTAAAAGTCAGAGCAATACAGAGATGATACAAGACATGGTAATCTTAACAACTTATTCAAACTGCCTGGTGGATCCATCTTGATCCCAGCATTTACTAGTTGAACCAGAAGTGCTTACAATCATCATCATCATCATAACCATAATCAATATTATTGATGTTGTTATAGCATCCTCCTTCCTGAGGTAATTTATTTTCATTATTATTTCTAACTTTTCCAAATTACAAAAATAAATTATTGCAAATCAAAGTTTTTTTTGGTTACAGTCACTTTATTAAATCAAACAGATATTTTGGAGTTTGTATTTTCTGTCCTTGTCTTGTTTATTCAGTATTTTCTCTTGTATTATTTGTCTGAAGATCCTTGTAATGACCACTAACTGGTTTCTTTCTTAAAAGTTTATTTTCAAAACCTGAAAATGAAATATATTTTCTATTTCTTTGGAAATCACATTAATTAGTTGTCACAATATATGGCCTGTTGTCAGTATCTACTGATTTGATTGTTCCTTCAGTGTTCCAATATTTTTCTTTATCTAATTTTATTCTTTAGAGTTGGTAAATTTCTGGCACCATGGATTCTGTTAAAATTCTTTTCCATTCTGTTTTTTTCTTTCTTTTTTTGGTAAGTTCGTCTCTCTCAGATTTGTGTATATTTCCTCTGTTCTATTGAGTGTGTGTGAGGCAAATTCTATTTTTAAATTGCCATCTATTTCTTGAAATACAGCTGCTCTGAGACCATAACTGCTAGCATTAGTGCTAACTACTGTAGGGCTGGTTGGATTATAGTATAATAAAACTGATACTTGAATTAGTAATTCCTTTACTTTTTTAAAAGAATCCTTTTGTGGGTAATCCCACACAAATACAGAGTCTTTTTTCAATAATTACATCATTGGTTGTATTGTTTCAGCCAAGTTTGGTAAGAATTTGCCTAAGTATCTAACCATGCTAACTATAAAACATAATTCAGTTAAATTTGTAGGTGCAGGCAACTTCTGAAAGGATTTTATTCTTTCCTTGCTAGGTTGAATTCCATATACAGAAATTGTGTGTCCAAAATATTCCAATCATGTCTTTTTGAATTCACACTTTTCTTTATTAAGCTTGAGTCCTGCTTTTTGTAATATTTTAAGAACAGTTTTTTGTATTTTGCCATTTTCTTCTACTATAGATTAGAACATTATTGATAATTGTTTTGACTCCTTGAATATTTTTCAATAATTCTGACATCTTTCTTTGAAATATTTCCTGAGCTGATGTTATACCAAAAGGTAATGTTTTGAAGCAATATCTCATAAAATGAGTAATGAAAGTCGTGAGTAGATAGCTTCCTTTAGTTAACAGAATTTGGTAGAATCTGCTGATAGCATCTAATTTAGAAAAAAAAAGTAGCTCCATTTGGTTTAAGTGAAATATCACCTAAATTTGTTAACATGTAATGTTCCCTTTTCACTGCTAAATTCAGCTTCTTCAAATCTACATACATTCGGACTTTTCCATTTCTTTTTATCAAGGGTACTATAGGCGCATATCAATCAATTGGTTCATAATAACCTTGTTTTCCAGTCTATTCAGTTCTTCTTTCACCTTTGGTAAAATAGGGAATGGGACTCTCCTGCTCTTGTTACACAGTAGGGTAATGCATCTTTTTTCAGAACTATTTCCACTGGATCTCTGTTCAAATGAAGTTCCCTGTTTTATTTTGTCTAAACGTTTCACTAAATTCATTTTTACAGAAGTTTTTCTAGACAATAAGTTCTCTCCCTTTATACATTTGATGACATATATATCCAAATAATATTTGTCCTGACCTTCTTCTGTAACAGTATTAAATTTTCCAATGCATTGGACTATTCTATTCCTCCAGGACTTGTGAAGATGCCATTTACTAGTTTTAATATATGTTTTTCTTTCAGATTTTTGTAAATTTCAGTTGAAATAATGTTTATATCGGCGCATGTATCGATTTTAAATTTCACCACTTTTACAATTTTTTTTATTTTTATACCACACATCATTAATAAATCTATTTCTGTCAGCTCTCCTAGGAAATATTTCTTTCCTTCATTTACTGTCTGTATCGTATTCATTTTAGCTACAGCTAAAATGATTTATTTTCTCACATTTCTTGCAGTGTTTCCCTTTTGCTGGACAGTTTTTAAAATCATGAATTTTTTTTTTTTTTACATCTATTGCAGTTTTTGTTGTTTTTTTCCACTTTTTCTTATTTCTGTCTTGTGAGTTTCTCTGAGTCTTTAGTTCCTCTACATTTTTCTTGTGGATTTCTTCCATTTGAGATTTTATTTGCTCACTGCTCCTGGCCAGTTTTCTCAAGTTTCAAATCAAGAATTAATTGTAATCTTTTGGTTAGGTCTTTATTCTGTAGTCCTATCACAAGACGGTCTCTAATTTGGACATTTTTCTTTGGAAAGTTACATGCTTATTCATGCAATGTGTGAATAAAGGTTTCCACTGGTTCTCAAGGTAATTGAACCCCAAAATAAAATGTTGCCATTTCATGAATTATATTTCTCATAGGTATGAAGTAGGGATTGAATTTTTCCAAAACTGAGTTTTGCATATTTGTCTCTTCTCATTGTGGGAAAGAAAATGTCTGGAATATATTTTCAGCTTTGCTTCCCATGTAATATATTAATGTACTTGTTACCTTGAGAACCAGTGGAAACCTTTATTCACACTTTTATTATCTTCTTCCCAAAGCTTCAATGCTTCTCAAAAGCACTGAAATCTCTGTGGCTATTTTTACCAATATAACACATTTGTAAAATCTTATGGTTCTAGTGTAGTTAATTTGAACATTTGTTTTTAATAAAAATTTTTTTTTTAGAATTGGATCCTATTCTAGAAAATTTTCTTCTTTTAGAAAGAATCCCTCTCTAACACCATGTTCCACTGGAAAGATAAGTTATATGAGACTGGCCAGTGAAAAGTTTGAGCAACACAGAGATGACATGAGATGTAGTAAACTTAACAACTTATTTATTCAAACTGCCTGCTGGATCTGTCTTGATCCCAGCATTTCCTAGTGTGACCGGAAGTGCTTACAATCATCAAACCATAATCAACATTATTGATGTTGTTATAACAATAACCATCAATGATGAGCCTATGTTAACAACATACTGGTATTTTCTCCAACCCTAAAAGTGACTGGTATATTTCTCATGAACTACATCATAGACATTTAATCCTCTTGCTTACCAGTTTCTATATCAGTTAAAAAAAAAAGAAAAAAGAAAAAAGGCATCATGCCAACATTATCAGTAAGCCTTTTAGGCCAATATTAAAGTTAAATGTTATCTTCAAGGCTGTTGTGTGTTGTATTTCTTTCTTAATAACTGGCACTGATATAATTCTGGTAGTACTTACCAAATCAGCAGGCAAGTTCTTTAATTCTGTTTGTATGGCACCAGAACTGTTGGAATCACAGGGAACAAATCTGCCACCTTGAAAAATTAATTAATTCAATAAATAATTTAAAAAAAAAATTAAGCTCATTAATCTTGTTAAAAATTCTATTAAGTTACAATAAATTTTAATACATCAAACAACAAGAAAACATTTGAAAAAATATTTTAATAAATAAATCATTAAAGTAATGTTTTGCTATATACTTGGTACATTTCATATCATTTTAATGAAGGAATATAAATTTATCTTGCTTTTATCTTCAGTTTATAAATATCTCATATATGAAATATTACAAACCAGGCAGATGTTTCCAGTACTTAGCATTTTGCATTTCTCTGATTGGTTGAAAGAGTGCCCCAAGAGTCAAGTTAGCGATGTCACTCCCAGAATACAGTTCTGTTTTCTGACCCAGTGTCTGCCACTCTTCATCAGATATGTTTATACAGCTGTCTTTTGTGTGAATTTTCAGCAGCTCAATGCGTGCTTCCCTAAATAAAACAGAAAAATTACAGATTCTGGTTTACTATCAACAAATTACTTCAAAATAGTCTTTAAAAAAAATTAGGTCAAGAAAAACATCTGTTAAGTTACTTAAAACACTTAAAAATTAATTCTTCAGTAATATGTATTGGTACATGAAAGAGTATGAGAGAAAAACGCTTGACTGTTTTATCAAGTACTAATTGATGACTAAATACACATATCTTTCTCTCTATAAGTACTCATTACAGACAATTATTCTAATGATAGCAGGACTAAAGTTAACATCAGCTTGAATAAGTCATGTTGGAAATGTTATGCACTTTTATAACTTTCCTACCCTACATGCAAGCCACAAATCTGCTACTAGGTGGATGACCACTAGCGTTTACTGCTGGTGGCCCATTATTGAACTGCTGGTGTGTTCATCTTGGCAATATTACCACTGGCCATAAAAGGCCCACGAGTGTCTTGCATGTAGGGTAACCAAATGACCAAACATCAATTTTTTTTAATGGGCTTATTGGTCAGGTTGAGAACTTTCCAGCACCCTATTATAAGTGATAACTACACATTTTCATAAAAAAAAAAACATAACAATTATATATATATATATATTTTATAAGCAATTTAAGAAACCTTCAAGTCTTATTTGACATAACTACATAGGAACTAATTAGATGAACATGTCCCTCACCAAAAAAAGATTTGAAAGAAAACTTAAAATTGGTACAGCATTTACATTCATTCTTTGTTTTCAAGGTTTTTTACACACACACACACACACACATACATACATACATACATACATACATACATACATACATATATATATATATATATATATATATATATATATATATATATATGGATGTAAAGCATAAGTTGAGAGTGTTTAAACCATTACTCATAAAGAGTTGGTGATACACTTGCCCATATGTTCACTTCACAAAAAATGAAAACTAGAAAGAAAACTTATTATCTTTTGAAAACTGCAATGCTCACAATGTATTACATTGACTCATGAATTTTATCCTATTCAACATATGTTGGAAATCTTTCAAGTCACAAAAATAGTTTTTCAGTTCAACTTAAATATTATAGTATTAACATAATTTAAGCAAATGCCACATTGATTGGATAATTATATATAAAAAAATTTAATTAAATTTACACAAAATAAAAAAAAATTTTTTAAATGTCTAAAACTTTCATATTATCCAAGAAATATTGTTTACATAATATCAACTATTTTCCATCTAAAAGAATATGTATTTTCAATTATACTTATCAGGAGAAATGTAAATTCAATAAAAATAATACAATTTAGATTTCATCAATGGAAATATAGTTGGGAAAAAAATCAATTCTAATTTTCAAAATTCATCAAATGATAATGACTCTAGAAAATTTCATACAATACTATTCCTACTTATTAGGAAGTGGAATATAAATTCTCTTTTGAAAGCGTCTCAAAAAGGCTCCATCAAGTTCCCAAGGACAATTTGTTGCACATAATAGAAAAACTTTGTCTCCATTTTCTATATTGCCAACTCCTTCCATCTGTTTGAGAAGTTCAGTTTTAAATCTTCGCGTATGTTCTGCTTCCTGAATATTTCTTTTTCTGCAAATGCTGTCAATTTCATCAATGAAAATTACCTGCAAAAAAATAAAGGTTGAAGCCTATCTTATGTATATCTATACTACTATAGTCATAATATATTCTATAACAAGAAAAAACTGACAAACATTTATATTTTATATAACTGATTTCTTTTACCAAAATTGGTAAAAATTAAAAGTTTAAATTCTTAATATATACCAAGATAGTATTTATAAAATTGCTATACTTGTTATAACACAGCTTAGAATTTCTGTTTGTTAAATAAATAAAATAATTATTGAAAATTTCTTGAAAAGAATACATAGAAATATAATTAAATATAAAATAATTTATATATATATAAAATATATTTAGAAAATGCTCTTTTAGCAGCATGGGCACTGCTTTTAGTTTCTTGAGAGCATATGAAGTTCCAACAAACTTTACTGAGGTACAAATTTTTAAGAAATACAAACTAGTTTTAAAGTTCTTTTTTCGTTCTATCCTTAAAAAATGTGTCCTTTTTATTTTAATATTTAATTTGACTGTCAATCTTCTGCTTTTCTTGGATTCACTATTCCTTCCTTCATTTATTTCAACTAAGCTACTGACATAAACAAATCATTAAAAGTCTTTGTTTTTACTTTGTATAATACAGATAAAATATGATTTTTTCATATTGCTATGTCAAATGATGAGTGAGTTCACAGTTAGAGAACCCTGGCTCTACAAACTGGTCTAGAGGAGCCATGGAATGTGAAGAGAAGAATATATTTTCATTAATTAAGTTCCAAGTCATCCAATCAACATGTCTGGGGAAATCTATTTGCAAATCAGAAAGAGATCTTGATTAAGAAATATAACACCCTTAATTATGACAATTTTAGCTGTAATCAAGGAAGAGGAATCATTATAAACTTCATTTTTATGTATATTTTGGTCTTAAGTCTCCATTATTTGAGCTAATTATTCCCACCTAGTGTTAAGAAAAAGTGGCCAGAAAACCATATGGAGTAATATTATATTATTTTCTTAGCAATTCAACACAAAAATATGAAAAAATCTAGAACTGGGTTAAAAATTCTTTTGATTATTTTACAGATGACAACATAACATTAACAGTTAAAATATTTAATTTTTAATTACATAAACCAAAATTGAAATTTTGAATAATTGAAACAAATTTACTTCCAGTCAAATAAAAAATACTTACCGATCTAGAATTACTTTGACATGCATGTTGAAAAAGTTCTTTGATTGACCTAGTGAATATTAAAACATGAATTTAATTTAAAACACAATATTTTAAATATCATTTCTAATCTAAATGACAATTCTAAAAACTCTAGTGTCATATAATGTACACATCATAACAACTTTATAAAATTAATCAAATTGTTTGATTTATTAAGTAAAAATTTTTAAAAGATTTGATATTTTTAGCATTAACTTTATTGAAAAATAGGTTTGGGGAAAATAATCATGGCTTTTAACTATCTATTTTAAAGCAGCATATCTCAGTATTAAAAAAATCAGTATTAAAAATCAGAATTTTTAAAGGTGCTTGAAAAGTCTAAGTCAGATCTGATGAATAAATTAGGTGAGGTAGATTGGGGCATTGTCATATACACAAACCTTATTTTGGTCATCATAGTTACCACAACAACCTGTTACACAGCACTTTTTGACCATTTTAAGAAAGGTTGGGGGTACTGAAATTAAAAAATATTAACTAAACTATTATTTTGTAAAAATTACATGGTGCTTCTAAAAAGTGTATGAAATTTATAATTCTAAGGTCTGGAGGGTTTGGTCTTCGGTATTTAGGTTTCAGAATTTAAAATTTAAAGTTTGTATGAATGTGGGAATCTTTTAGAGACTAACATGGATTAAGAAATGCCAGGACAAAGGAATTTGGGATTCAGACTTGAGAATTTTAGAGTTTGGAAAATTAAATTTTGGATAATTGTATTTTATGGGGAAGGGGGCGGATCAAATTTAAACTTACTGTAAAAATATTAAACTGGTTTTGTAACAACAATGCTAGTAAAATTCAACATGCATTTTTTAAATACCTGTAAATAATTATTTTTTTAATTTTTAAATCAATATATTTGTTGCTATGAAGAATAATATCATAGACAAAATATTAAATTCAATTTTTATTCAACTTTTTTCAAATGGGCAAATTTCTGTACAGTAGCATAAATTAGCAGTGTAAAATGTTACATACATTTTTTTCTTACAAGACAATCAACATACTTCGCGTGTTATAAAGGAAACATAAATTATTCATTAAAAAATGAATTTTACGATCAAAATATTCGTTATTATGAAGAATAATAGCATAAAGAAAAAATTTAAATTAACTTTCTCTGACAAAATTCTTAATAATATCATTTTTTTTAATATTTCGCTGCTTAAATCGCAAAAAAAGAGAACAATGTCGTCTCTTTTTTTATCTTTGTGGTATATTTTTAAGAACAGCTGTAAAATATTAAATTTATTATTGAATTTAATTTTTAACATTAAATTTAGGTGCATTATTTACATTATTCGGACTATTGTCCTCATCTTTGTCGCCATATTTATCACATTTCGGCCGTTGTACGCTCCGGCCTTCTTCAGGTGAATGGAATTTCGAACTGAACCCTTTATTTCGCTCACTGGGGTAGACTGTTCTAGTTCCATGTGCCACGTTTGATGGATGTCAGTTATCAGTTATCTTCCTGCTAATTTCCCTCTGAAAGTTCTCCACTGCCTTAACCAAGTATTGAACTCACACTCTTTGGGTCCTGTCACTGGATCTAACCAACGCCTTTATCCACTGTGCCATGTGTACTTGAGCTCAGGAGATTTTTGTGGCCTAGCATGTGTGCTGATTACTTAAGTTTACGAATTTTCCAATGGTGTTGCTTACAACACCGAGCAAAAGTCATAAGTGGCGACCCAGAGACGTTAGATAAAGAATTGGTCAGTATAAGTAGTACTCTACAATGTAACAACTACCCTGGGTACATGGCAGCAGCCCCAAAAAACTGGGATAGGCGAGTACAAGAGGAGGAAGACAACAACACTCAGAAAACAGTCTGCCTGCCTTATGTGAAGGGGTTATCAGAGAAAATACAAAGAATCTGCGGTCCATATAACATCAGGACAACCTTCAAAAGCTTGACGACACTTCGCAGATATCTCTCCCGAGTAAGACCCCCCATAGAGGAGAACATGACTAAAGACTGTATGCTATCCTGTGCAGCTGCGGAAAGGAATATAAAGGAGAGACAGGCCGCCCCTCAAGGTAAGGCTTCAAGAACACCAGAAAGCTGTAACATGAGGGAAGTGGAAAAATCAGGCGTGGCTGACCACATATGGAGAGAGAAGGGAGATCACCACCCTCTGTGGGATCATGTTGAGATCATAGACAAGGAACACCATTGGAAAATTCGTAAACTTAAGGAATCAGCACACATGCTAGGCCACAAAAATCTCCTGAGCCGACCAAGCATAAAAATAAATACAATATGGGAACCAGTAATAAGGAGTGCCAGAGAAAAGCAATGATAACAACAAAGTTGCAATATGAGCTCTGGTAAAAACATGAAATGATAACAGCAAAATTGCAATATGAGCACTGGTAAAAATGGTTGCTGAAGACATTAGGTTTATAAAACCCAGAAATTCATACCCAGATACTCTCAAGTACACATGGCACGGTGGATAAAGGCGTTGGTTAAATCCAGTGACAGGACCCAAAGAGTGTGAATTCAATACCTGGTTAAGGCAGTGGAGAACTTTCGGAGGGAAATTAGCAGGAAGATAACTGATAACTGACATCCATCAAACATGGCACGTGGAACTAGAACAGTCTACCCCAGTGAGCGAAATAAAGGGTTCAGTTCGAAATTCCATTCACCTGAAGAAGGCCGGAGTGTACAACGGCTGAAACGTTGTGATAAATATGGCGACAAAGATGAGGACAATAGTCCGAATAATGTAAATAATGTACATAATACCTCATCTCAGAAATATAGACAGACTCTAAATTTAGGTGATAAATTATTTAATAAGTGTCATTTTTCAATGAAAAACATTATTTAATTTAGCATTTATGAAGGACAAAAATTCAACATACTTTTTAAAAAAATACTTTAACATAAAGTTACAGTAAAATATAAATTATTCATAAAAAATCAATTTTATAGTTAATATCGTTATTGTTGAAGAAAAATAGAGAAAAATATTAAAGTTATGTAATAAATTCTTAATAACACGTGTGAATTTCACATTGAAAAGGTTTGTTTAAAGATAAATATGCAAAGTTCAAATAGAATAAATAAACATACTTTATTACCTTAAACAATAAATTTAAGTTAATCCAAATGTAAAAATTTCTTTAAAAAGAAAATGAATTTCATAATCCAATTGCAGCAACAAACTTTTCATTGCCTTTTACTTGATTTCAAGGCCTGAGTTATGGATCATCTTTCTTGCACCATAATTTCTTGCATTCCACATTATTAAAGTATTCATTTTATATTCCCTATCTCAATTTGTTTAAAAACACTTAAATACAATTCTGCTTAATTTATATCTAAATTATGTCACGTATGAAAGCAACTTCACAAAGCTGATGCAAATGATTTCCATTGCTTAATATGGATGTTTTAAGCATGTTGGTTTTCTCTAGTGTCATATAATGTTGATTATTCACAATTGATATCATGATTTGGTTACTATCAACTACAATTATTCTACCCAATTATGAAGCATTGTTCAGCAAGATATTTTCAGTGTAGAATTTTGCAAACTATTTTGTCATAAAAAGCAAGATTTTTGTTTACATTTTTGTTTTACATTTCTTAAAATAAAAAAGCATAATATGCTGAAAATGTTGCTTATTTTCTTCCATATTCAATGTTAGAATCAATTAACAAAAATATGTCAGTTCTGACAATATTTTTAAAATGCTTATCTATACAACAGTTGTCAATATATAAAGTCAAAAACAATATTAATGAATGAAGTTACTTAAAATCAAACATTCCAATTGCCATCTAACAATAAAAACAGAATTTACTTTTTAGCCAATGTCATATATTAGTGAAACAAAAACATTGTTGGCTATAAAGTCTAATAGAACAGCAGAAGATTGAGAAATCATGTTAGTCTTTGGAAAGCATAAATCTGAAATGGAAATACATACTTTTCACTCTCCCCTACCCAGCTGGAAAGAAGATCTGCACTGGAGATAGAATAAAATGTTGATGTTATAGCAGAGGAGAGTGCCAGAGCCAAACGTGATTTTCCTGTTCCAGGTGGCCCATACAAAAGAATTCGCTTCCAAGGCTTTCTGTTTCCTAAAATTAAAAAAAGGTACAACTATTTTTTTCAACTAATTATATTTTCTTTATATATATTTTTAATAATCTCATGACAGACATTATTACCAATAGTATTCTATATCTGATTTTAGTTTGCAAGTCAATATTTTCACTATAAAATTGGTATTAACCAATGTTTGTAAAATTTTCAGGATATTGTTTTCACTCTGTTTTGGATTTTCTTCACTGTCTTGATAAAATACAGCTTTAAATTATCCACAGAGGGCATCTACTTTCACAGTTGGAATTATGGATAGGTCTTCAAGATCTTGTACAAAATCTGAAGTTCAAATATAATACCAGCTTGATTTCCTTTTTGTAAGTTTAGTGCCCACTCAGCTGAAGACTTTGAGCAGCTCATGAACTATTTTTAAAAGGCTTGTTGTAATTCGGAATTTACCAACATTTCAAGAAAAAGCAAGGGACAAAACACAGACTGCTCATTCTGCATTAATATCCCTGATCATGATCTTGAAGTTGTCCATGACTTTACATACAATCTCAGACTCCTTCTGACACTGCGCTAAACAAGCATCTTGGTGAGGTTGCTATTTCCATGTTCACATTGACAATAAGAGTTTGGGATAAGAGCAAAATGACAAAACATACCAAGGTCCTGGTCTACAAAGTTTGTGTTGTAAGCAACCACTAGTATGGCGGTGAAATTTGGACTGTGTGCTTGACATGAATGGAAGTTTTCTTTGATGCAACCAGAACATCTCTTGGCAAGATAAAGTTCCCAACAATTCTGTCCTCAAGAGGACTGGGATTCTCAGTATGTACACTCTTTTAAAGCAAAGATGCTTGCACTGGCTCAAACATGTGCAAATGAATGACAGCCAAACTAAGTTTGGCTGTCATTCACATGTTGTGTGAATGGATGAAAGTTGAATACATAGAGACCACTTGAACAGAGGGTTTGCTCAAAGAAAGTACTCTGTAGGCAATCCCCAGCTATGTTATAAAGATGTCTGTAAAATACAGAAAGGCCTCTTCAAGTTCAAAGAGACATTTGTCCAACAGACAAAGGTCAAAAGGCAAAGATGGAAATACCAAAGTCTGACAAACAGATCAACATCAAACTTTGCCTATGCAAAATGTGGGAAGGATTTCCATTCTCAAGACATAATGAACACTGCGGCTGAAACATCATCTACAGTACAACACCATAATTTCTTAAGACTGACAGCTACCTAATTATTTTGCATGGATATATGACTCTTTTTATACTTTGAAAAAGATAAGGTTAAAGTAACTATTGTATTCTCTGGAATATTCAAATATTAGAAAAAAAACTAAAAGGTTGGTTTAAAAAACTTAGTTTTTTTTTTAAAAAAACAGATGCTGAAATTATTGAATGCACTTTTAAAAAACAGCTTTGAAGAGTCAAATTTATTAAATACAGTGAATAGAAATAATATAATGTAAAAGAAGTTATTTAAAAAATTATTTCATGGATTCTTTTCAAAAATAATTTCTGGTAAGCATTGCAATGGCAATATGAAAACTGAATACCTGTGAAAAGATGTGGGAACTTTAAAGGCATAATTATAGCTTCATGCAAAGCTTCTTTGGCATCATGAAGCCCAGCAATGTCATCAAAACTCAACTGTTTTTTAGTTATAATTGTATTTTCAATGGCAGAAATTCGATTTTCCTTTTGAATGTCACACTTAATTTCTTTTATATCTGTAAAAAAAACCCCAAAAAACACAATTATAATATATCTTACTAATTACTATGAATAGACACATTATAACTGTGTCTATTCATGCACAAATATTTTCTATGGAATTTTGACTTTTACTTATTTTTACTAAACTAACAAAATAACATGCACAAATATTTTCTATGAAATTTTGACTTTTACTTATTTTTACTAAACTAACAAAATAACTTTATTTTTTCACTTCTGAGATGAGTAATTGTCAATATTCTTGTATTATTTAGAACTAATGTTCTCATCTTGGTCAGTGTTATCTATATCAAGCAAGACAAGAAATAATACAAGTAGTAATAATAATAATAATACAAGTATATTGACAATTACTCATCTCAGAAGTGAAATACTAAATTATGAACCATCTGACATTGAATATAAAAGGTTCCAAAAAACACACCATTAGTGTCCTTTGGGACAGTGGCATAGGAGTTGGTTATACATGTCTTATCACCTAGTGGTCAGGAGTTGAATCCTTGGATTAGGTAGTGAAGTACAAATTCAACAAGAACAAACAATAACTGACACCGCAGTAACAAAATATTACAATAATCAACAATATCCCATATCAGCCAATCAATGGACACTTCATGATGACCCGAGGATACTTGGTCAAAATGTGTCTATAATAACATAACCAAGATGAGAACAATAGTTCAAAATAATACAAGAATATTAACAGAATAACTATTAGTTACTAATAAAAAGTATTTTGTAAATATTATATAATTTTAGAACACTTAGCAAAAAAATGAGACAAATACCTTTATTTGATTATCAATTGAAATCATATTTGATAGTCATAAAAATTAACAACAAATTCCAACAAATTCACTGATAGATAATTACATGACTTTTTATGTTACCTTTAACTTCCTTTTTACTCATTCTCTCATAATAGATATTTATCTGGATTCTATTTGAGAATACAATTAAAAATACATTGAAAATATAATAAAATAATGAATAAAATAAGATAATGAATAAATTATGTACCTACATTGTGTTGATATATTTAATGTAATCCAAAACTTATTACCCGTAAAATCAAGAAATTATAAAATACTTCTTCATATTTAATAATACCATTTGAATAAGAATAAAAATAAATAATAATAATAATAATAATAAAATAAAAAAAATTATTTTACCTTGTATCCAACTAAATGGTTTCTTTCTATATGAATTGATATTGCTTAGCGTTTTTGAAATATATTTATTTCACATAAAAGTACTTATTTTATATCTACTAATTTGACACCAGAAGAAACTTGCTAAAAGGTATAGGATATAAAATCCTATATTTTACAACCAATAGGCAAGACACAAATAAGTAAGAAATGCTCACACATAAATAGGATCAGAATTACTAAAACAAAAACTTTTGTGCAAATTAGTAAAAAAAATAGGATCCAAAATAAAATGTGGTTTCTAGAATTTGATTGGACAGTAGAGTTATGTGCTATGCTTCTGACTACATCTGTATGCTATCCCGCATAAACCAAAAAGCTTTCATTTGGAGCCAACCATGGGATCAGGATAACTATATATACACCAATTTTGGGGGCAATAAAAACACACACAGCAAAAACCCAATCAGCAGCTGGATGTGGATCACCTCATCGATGACAGGTGGTTGAATCTGTAAACACCTGATCAGAATTTTCTCATTACCATTGACAACACCTCAGTCAGTGACAACTACACACCATTCAAAGGAATATTTACACAACTCAAAGAAATATTCATAGCTGTTGAAAAAAAAGTAAGTCTAATCATCTAACTGTATGTCCATTTCCTTTTCAAACCACTGTAATCAGCTATCACGTATTAGCACTCACACCACAATCAATGTTTCTACTAATGTGCTTCATCCACACACACACACACACACACACACACATTGTCAGCAGCCATGCATACACTCTGTTAAAATGTGTTTCATACACACTTTATATTGACCAAGGCATATGATTTCATGAACTGCCCTTTAACAAATGGAAAATTTTGTTGAACATTTGAAGTTTGATTTTTTATGACCAGAACAAACACAATGTATATCATGCAAAAAAAAAAATGTTAATGTGTATATAAATATATGATTATTTCCGTCTGGTTTTTCTTTTTACCTATATAACAAAAAATCATTTCTTCATATTATGTTGTATTTGTGGGCACGGCACTTGGATTTTAATTTTTCACTTTTTTAGACTGTCCCTATAAAAGCTAAACAGACATTCTTTGTCTACGTCATTGTTCCATGAAAGAATTACTATCTAAATATACCATGTTTAATATATTAAATATATATATGCTTCCTTTGATATTTTGGTTTTCATATTTTCTCATCTTCATTTTTAACTCTTAGCATAGAATAAACTTAAAATTAACACTATTTCATTAAATACAAATTTGTAAGTTTTGAGAATTTTCTTGATTTTAACAGTAATCCTAAAATGCAAACATTTTCAGTAACTTCATTTCATTCTCAATGTGTTAAATTCTCTTTAAGGTATCAATATAACCTTATTGATAATTTGTTTTCTGGCATTATATGATTTACTTTCACTTAAATATGGATCATAAAAATTTTAATGTTATTGACAAATTCATGAAATTAATTATATTACCTTTCTCAACAGAAGTACCATCTTCTTGGATATTTTTTATGTTACATTTGGTGGTGAACATTTTACTCTGAGTTTCAAGAGATTTTAGGATCTGATTCAGAGATTCCTTCAATAAATAGACAAAAGGCAATAAAAACAAAAATATATTCATAAAATTTGGGTTATGAAATTTTCTCCATTTTTAAAGCATCTAGCAAACACTTTCAGAGTTTAATAGCTAATGATTTCATGTAAAATATTACCACATAATGATGTACAGTTGGTGTAATAGGTATTAGCACAGAACATGGAGTCAGTGAATAGAGTTCAGGGTTATTTTCATTAATCCATCTCTTCTACCTTTAACTATAACTAATAAATAATATTTGATTTTTTAGAAAATGTTTCAAGAAACAATAATAAATATATCTAATCAGCATAATTTTAAGGAAAACTGATTAACATGTTAGGCTATTTATTAGTTATTTATTAATCATAGCTTCATATTGTGTTGTATCAATCTTTTGTTTTGTTACCTAGGTTCAAACATGAACTAAGGGTACCAATAAGATAGACTCAACTATCTCAGCAACTACAATGGACCACTTAGGAGTTTTATTAAATAATATTATATTATTATATTATATTATATTATATTATATTAAATAATTATTGAATAATCAGATTGTAGTAGTTTGGTGATAACATGGCTAAAATTTTCATTAAAAAATGGGAAAATTGGTCTTTATAAAAATAAGCAAATTTTGAGTGTTTCTGTTTGTAATTTTGTTCTTTGAAAAGAAAATATGTCCTTAAAATATAAAATAAACATTAAAAATATACAAAATACATAGATAATTCCAAATATTACAAGCCAAAATTTTACTTATCAAAATTTTAATAAACTTCAATTATACTGAAGTAATTATCAAATACGTAAACATTTTAATATTTCAATTTATATTTTTATAAAAAATATGAAATATTACATTTTAATATCTTTAATTATAACTATTACAAATAGTTAGTATTTCTTACCATAAAAAGTGGATCAGTTTCCAGTGATATAAGTTCTTGTATTATTTCATAACAATGATGAATTGAGTTTAATACAACATCAATATTGATATTACAAAGTTTCTGAATTTCTTTCATGACACATTCCAAGCTGTAAAATTATTGAACAACTTTAGAAAATAGCAATGCAATAAAAAACATTATTTTAATATACTAATGTTGAATATCATACATAAGAAATTTTAACTTTAATAGTGGCATAATTGCTAAATATTAGATTCAAATTATGATTAAAAAATATTTCCAAATTTGTTAATAAAAAAGTGTATCTTTCTGGTGATATATCAAATAACTACATTAGGATCATTGTAAAATTTTTATTTAGTAAAGATAAAAAAGCAAATCTTAATTAAGTAGATTTATGACCGATAAAGTGAAAGAGTAATTCAAAAGTAAAACAATATAATGACAACTCACTTTATGTCTAAAGTTATAGCACAGAGATTCATAATTTTAAGCATTTTATTCAATAATACAAGATTCAATAAAATGCATACACAAATATTACAGGATAATATCCATACTGTTATCTCTACAAAGGCAATTTAAAAATATATTATATCAACCCATTCTTCACACATATACATACACATACATTCATGTCTATTATAATAATATTAGTATTGTTTTGAAATACATATTTTACATATCTAAATTAAGTTTTTCACTTTTAAACAAAAACAATGCAAAATATTTTAAAAGATATCATTTTACAAACAATTTTCATCCCAACAAATTTATACCTTCCTAATATAAAAATTAAACAACTATCAAGGAAAAATATAACAGATAGCTTTTAAGTGCTTTCTCAGATATGAACATTTGACTGCATAGGTTTAGCACAACTTGTCATGGTGTAACTTAATAGCTCGTCTGACAGTTTAATTACTGAATACTGAATTTCATCCTCATTAGGTTTGTGCCAAATCTAAGCTGTACTTAATAAGTAATTAGGCACCTTATTATTAAGCTGGACTTGTAGATCATCAGTAGTGGGTTCGATTCTCACTGGGTGCCTCATACTTGTAGCCAAATGTCAAAACTAAGCTATACTTAAGAGATAACAACTGCTTTATCAGTATAGTGATGAATCCAACCTGCTGAGAATTCAATCAGATTGACTTGACAATGATTCTGAGATTTGCCAATTGACAGCTAACAAAGTTGGAAACTCAAAACACACTAATAAGTAAGTGTTATGATAAAATGAATACGAAAATGAACAAGATATTTTCAATATCCTAAATCTCTCTTATTACTAATAACATATTTACTGTTATATTTATATTTTTAAGTGTTAACAATCTGATAAAATGTTAATTTGAAATTGTATTTAAGTGAAAGATAAAACCAAAAATGTATGCTTCACAAATATTAAAATTTACAAAACTTAACTGAATGCTAAGAGCATTAAAAGCAGAATATATTATTAAATGCAAGCTGCATGAAGAAAATCATACGAACAGTTAATGTTACTAATTCGAACAAGAGAGGACAAAATGCTAAAATAGTAACATTAATCATTAAAATATTTAAGATAATCATATTTTGAACAAAATACTAATGCTGATTTAAAATATTACGAAACTCATTTGAATATAAAAACAAACTTACCAAGAGACTGCTTCTGCATCATTCATCAAAATGGACCCAACAGAAATTTGAATAGAAAATAGTTAATTAAAAATATTTACAGTACTTTTTTTCTAAACTGTTATATATCATCTAATAATAAAAAGTAAAAAATACATTTCTGTAACCAATGAAAGTTACATAGTTGACAACAAAAGCTGTAAAAGTTTTCTTTTAGATAAATTTTGTAGTTATTATTCAAGTCATAAATGATTTGCTAAATAAGCAATTAATACCAACAATGATTGATGAAAATGAAATTGTTAAAGTACTTTTAAGTGTTTACATATATAAAGTGAAGTTTTTAAGACAAGGAGAAAATAGTATATGATTCTGAATATGATTCTGAAATAAAGTTGAAATCAGATACAATTTTTTTTATTTTAAAGAAAAGAAATATGGTAAAAATGAGATTGCACAATATTGTTTGTGATTAAATAATAAAGAAAAATGTATTTTGAAAACTGATGGTCAAAATTACTTTGTATAAATCATTATTAGTGATAATTTAGGCAAAGCTTGTTTTACACACAGAACACTATTATAGTAATGGTGCAAAATAAAGGAATATTAATAGAACATAATTGCTGAACCTTCCTATTTGAGATTACAGATTCCATCCAGAAATTATAAGGACACTATAAAAATTATTTTATTGATTTCTTATTGAATTAGATGTCTTGTGAATGGGAGATTATAATGTATGTATAAGTGATATACTTTTAAAGTATTTTATTCAATGATTAATAGTCCAATGGGTTCAATTTTATTGTTAAATATCATTTCTTGGTATTCAGCAACAATAAAAACATTAAGACTAATTAAATATAAATTATACACTTCCCAACAAGTAAATGACATACATCTCTTAGGATACATTCATAAATGCTGTATCATATTTTCTAGTTAGTAAATGTAGTCACTAATTAATTAGGTATTAGTTTAAATATTACATATATGTTACTAAATAAAAAGATTATCTCAAAATAATTGTAAGTAGATATATATCAGCTTGATGTTATAAATTGTTTTCCTCATCCCAAATATCAAAACTAGTCTTATAAAAATTGAATTAATCTTAATGTAAATAGAGACATTTTATTCTGGTAGACTCTGAAAACTGTCAAATATTTAAAATGTATATTTATTTAGGTTAGCAAAATATTTATAAGTGTTCTAGAACTTATAAACATTTATTATTTTTTGTAATAACTTCCTACAAAAGCTAAGTCTTTAAAAGAGATTCTTATAATTCTAGTATATAACCAAGTAAATACATTTATTTATGAAAAAAATTTAATATTTATGTTTAGCAATTTGCCTGATCATTTAGAATAAAAGAAAGTTGTATTAAGGTAAGAACAGAGAGAGAACCTTTTATTTGAAGTTACCACATAAATTGGTAATAACAATTGAAGTTAGGATTCAAAGATCATTCTGGTGTGACAAGTGAAAATGTTTTTTTAATCTGTGTAACAATCTTATACCACTCAAGATATTGCTTATTGCACACACAATGTGTGTTCTTGTATGTGCAAAACATGATTTAACAGGGTTAAAGAATTTGATTTAGGCAACTACAATTAAAACTGCTTAATGAAATATTTAATTTCAAATGACATTATTAATTGATAAAAATAATGCCTGCTTTCTTTAAATAGTGCTATTGCTTCAGGTTATAGCTTATTGCTTTAACTGATGGATTCATTTATTTTCTATCTTATCAACCCTTTGCAGGCTATTTAAAGCCAGAACACATTTTTTTTTAATATTGTAATAATATATTTTTTAGATAAATAATGGTTTAGTGATACAATCTTACTAATTAACCCATAACTGGAGAGGGAGAATATGTGGATTCATACCTTTCCTAAGGGTATTTGCACATAAGTAAATATACTGAGCTCAATAGAAATTAGAATTTGGCTCTAGGATCAACAATTCCAAGCCATTATCCATTGCACCAGCTGCATGACTAAACGATCACCCATCTAGATACTAACTAGGCTCAACATTGTTTAACTTTGGTGATCATATGGAAATTAGTGTTTCAATGTGATGTGGCAGTAAGCTAAGGCTTATTGTAAAAAAATGTGTCTACCAGATGAACTGACTGAGAAAGCTTTCCTAGTCCTCTGTGATTTAATGGTCAGACATCAAACCTCTAATCCTTCTTGTATAGAATTTTTGTGTCAATATAAGATTTCATCAACCTAGTGAAATTACTACTAGTTATATAGCATAATTACAAGCTGTCTGATTGTGGGGAAACCTTGGAAATGTTGGATAAATTGGTTTGTGGGGGTCAACTATGACCAAACCCAAATTCTAACTAATATTTAACTAAGCCCTGTAAATAGATCTAGTAATAGAGGCTGCAGCCAGAGATAGATTTGAAAACTAGTGTGATGTCAAATAACATCAAATTTGACTCCAAAAAAGCAGTGAGGTGGATGTCCACAAAATTTTTCAGTTAAGATCATGTCAGTTGCACTCACACTGTTTCTGTATCTTGGACAATAATCATTCAATAGAATCTTGTCTCACACAGAATTGAAAATGTTATAAATGTCAAGGATTGACTATGTAGCCTGTACAAAAAATGATATTTAGTAAAAAAGTAAATCTTGGAAGCCAGAGAAAAAATTGGAAGTGTGAAATTGCTGTTGTAAGAAATTCATGAAGACTCCTTTGACCAGAAAGATGTTCATAAATTGAATGATTTGTATTATAGTAACTCCAGCATGAAGTCCATTGTCACTGAATCAGTGGCAGTGGGAAAGTCAATCCAGACAGAGTAAGATGCAGGTGCAGTTGTTTAGAATGTGTCATAAAATATATACAGCTGAACTCATAGAAGCTAAAAGCATACACAGGAAAAGTGATGTACTCATTGGGTAAGTGCATTTAAAGGAGGTGTCAGCAGAAGTGACACTGATTGTGGCAACAAGACCACCTTTGTTCAGTAGAAATTGGTTTAGCATCCTAGATGTCAATTTATATTTGACGGTGAGCGTAGGATCCATAGTTATTTAATACCACTCATTTCGTCAACTAATACTTATATAATTGTTCATAATTAAAATCCCATTAAAAATAGTATTTTTAAAATTATTCATGAAACAAAATATTATAATATTTTTCATTATTTCACAATGTTTTTGCTATTAAAATTTACTAAGCAAAATGAATTAATTGAATTATATTGAATCTAATTTTGTTGCAAATTTAGCCTTTAAAATTTACTGAATTACTAATTATTTAAAGGCACACATAAAATCAAGGCTCAGTTTAACAGTAAAGAATATATTCAATGTTAGGGTAGGGGGCCATTATGGCATTATACATTGTAAAATCTCAATTTAGAACCGCTTGGTTCACTGTTTCAAAAATTTATTTTATAAAAAATGAAAACAAAAAAAAAAAGAAAAAAAATGTCATTTCCATAAAGCACAGAACAGACATAATAAAAAAAATTCATCAAAAATTCTTTTTTTACCTTAATCAAAACTTTATCAGATATTTTTTCATTTTTAAGAAAACAACCTATTTTATTTTCTTTCATTAATAATTTGAAAAACATTAAAATATGTACCTAAAAAAAAGAAACAAAGTAATACCCTAAGGTTTAAAATGCATTTTAAAAATTGAAAAATTTCTCTTGAAGTTTTTATTTTAGTTTTAATTTCAAGATAATAGATTAAATTTAATATTTCCAATAAGCAAAATACTTTGCTGTGTTTCAAACTGAATTTAAATTCATTGGAATGAATTTTTTTTTAGTTATCAGTAAAAATGTTAAATCTGACAAATCTGTCAGTACAGTATTATTCTCTTTATTAAATAATCTTTCAAAATTAAAATATACATTTCTGAAATTTTATTTGAGGAAAATTAGCTGATTTAGACTTTAATCTGACTTTAAACAAATATTACTTTTAGTTTAAAATATTGCAGAAAAGCATTGTTTAATGTTTATATGAAGTATTGACAATTCTCTTGATAGACTTATGTTTGGAATTTTTTCTACAGGGAACATAACTGTAACAATTACTTGATGAATATAATGTAAATGTCTTTTTTATATATATTTTTTCATTACCAAGTAATCTTAAAAATTTAAGAAAATATTCTAAGCAACCTAATATTTTATTGAATTTTAGTACTTTGGTTTTATAGCTTTACTTACAAAGATACTTGTTGAGGAAATTTTAGAAAATTACCAATAAATTTTAAATTTACTATAGTTACCACTTATTTTCTGATAATGTTGGGTATGTCTGTATTTACATAAAACAGCATGTTTATACATTAAAAAAAAAAATTTTTTTAAAATACTGGGGCACTTTTCCATTTATGATTAGTAAATATAGTTTGTAGTTAATAACAATATCACCTAAGTACTACAAATTAATACAGAATTTTAAAAGATTTAAAACTTTATAAAAACATAATATTAAAAAAATGAAAACAATTCTTGTAAAAATTCATTATTCATCAAAAAAATTATTTTTTCTTAAGACAATGCCATAGAAGTGTACATATCTTATTCAAAAAGCAATTAAAAGTTTTCTAATTAAATAATGTCTTAGTTTTATTGCATACTTTATTATACAATTCACAGCAGATTATGTGTAATTTGAGGTCCTGTTTGACAAAAAAAATTAATAATTTAAACTCTCCAAAGGCTTGTCCTTACAATGCACTACAAAAATTAATTTATCAAAATTTTACAAAATCAAATACGTGGGAGGGAGGGGGAGGGTGCAACAAATTAATATTTTTACCAAGATTTTCTCAAAAATAATTTAATTCATTTGTAAATAAGTCCTGAAAATTTAATTTAAATCTGACAATTAACTGATTTTTGCAAGAATTCTCGCAAGAACCGCAAAAATTTCGCAAATGGTCACCTGTTGCCGTTGACGCAAAAAAAAAGAAAAAAAGTTTTTTTTTCAACTAAAATTTCGAACGTTCTAAAAAGCATTGAAAAATAATAATCTCAAAA